TCTTGTTATTGTTATTGTTGTTGGTGTTGGTGTTGTTGTTGTTGTTGATGTTGTTGTTGTTCTTGTTGTTGTTGTTGTTGATGTTGTTGTTGTTGTTGCTGCTGTTGTTGTTGTTGTTGTTGACGTTGTTGTTGTTGACCGGTGGCCCTTGTAAGAGGTTGGGGATGACTCCCACGCCTCCAGCTTCCTGAGTGATGAAGAACCCAAGTCCCCCTCCAAATCAAAAAGCCTAAGTCGTTTCAATTCTGATGACTTGAACACATTCAATCCAACACAGCGCCTCTAGTCCAACACAGTGAAAACCGTCATTAAGATGAGCTGTGACTCCTTATGCCGTACATTCTTGCTGGCAGCTGGTAGTTGCACAGTGGTTGAAACAAAGTTTGCATGTCTGGCTGAAGCTAACCTGATGCCGTCACGAAGACCGGCGCACCTCCCATGGCGCCGAGCACTTGAATCTGGACCTCCTCGTCGCGAAGGTCCTGGCATGTGGAAACAGAGAGGGTTTTAAAACGTGTGGTATCCGTTTTGGGCGCCCTTTTCTAAAGGCATTACGGTCCAGTTTCTCAAAATTCCCAGGACCCAGTAACCATGCGACAGAAGCGTGCGACGCGAATGTATGCGAGACGGTGCATAGGGCCCGGTTGCCGCATCGATCCAACTGCGGACATCCAGCTTAGCTCTGCCGTGATGAGATTTAGCGACCACAGGCGAGGGTGCTCCTAAGGAGTTAGCCATGCCTCTGTGTGCCACCGCTTCAGTGTTCGGGCTCAAAGAAGCCGAGTGACAGGCTTGGAAGGGGTTCAACAGGCTCGCGTGCGGCTGCTACCAGGCTTGTTGAAAATTCTGCGAGGGCCGGAGCTTGGGAACAGTACAGTACGGCCAGTAAATGCAGAAAACAGTGTGGAGGGCCTGAAGCAAGTCAGCCATGCAGCTATGAGGCTCTGCGGTTGTGCAGTCCAAAGTGGTGTCCATGCTTTGCTGGAGAAACCTCACACAAGCAAAAAGCAGATGCAAGCGGTGGAATTCCATGTCTCTGAAGAGCCCGGCTGCCCTACTCGGCGCCCAGGTCCTCCGGGTCCCGGTTACCGCTCAGCCCCTCCCGATAGGCCTCGCGAGGGATGTGGCCATGCAGGCAGCCATGCGTCGAGTGATTCTACACAGGAAAGGCCCGGGATATCTGCATCATACAGGCCTCGGCCAAGACGTGCGCGCTATGATCACCAGCTCCGGTGTGCGTTGTGGGCGTCAGTTCCGCCACATTGCGCCCAATGCCCAGTCCCACGTCCATAGACCCCAAGTGACACACACACACACCCCTTCACGTTCTATGTTAATATCAGTTTGACAGAGGCGCATTCCCTCCACAACTTCCACCCCGCAGGAGCCAAAAGCCCAGGATCTCTCTGGTCTTCTCCTACAGAGCCATGCACAAGGCAACCCTCAAGGAGAACCTACTGAAAATGCTTGGAGCCCGGACATACGACACTCTCGCAGCTTTACGGGCCTGAAGCTCCGCTCGGAAACTTAGAACTTAAAACCCTGACTCCTGAACAACATCCAAAAAGAAAAAAACAAAAAAACTCAAGTCACAGGAAGGACAACGGGGCAAAGCAATGGGGGGGCTGATACCACGACATCCGTGGAACTGGGAAGAAAATCTAGCATTACGCATTGTACCGTCTGAACCATTCGCGAACACGAAAGACACCACATGCAAACGATGCCATCCACAGCAGCATGCCAGTATACATTAGTCCTCAACCACATATTGCAGCAGTCATTCGCAAACGAATGCCGCATGAACACACCTGAACTGACCTGAACCCCAAACACACCCTCTTAGCCTCTTAGATGGGCCTTTGGGTTTTGCCAGTGTCGGGCAGCCAAAGCCGCCGCGCGGCTCAGACGCTGGGCGGCCCAGGCGAAATTGCCCTTTCGTCCTGGTGTCCAGAGCACTTCGGGCAGCTCCAAGAATCTCATTGCAGGCTTGCTAGATTCTGTTAGATACTGTCGTCGATGTGCGAAGGAGTTCGAGGGACTGCCTAACTTTCACTTTGGCCTTGCAATCGATCAAACGGAGCTTTTGCCTTTGCAGGTTCGGGGCTTAGGGCCTGAAGAGCTCAGTGCTACTGTGAAAAACTCCATGGACGATCTAGGCCTGGGTGTCGAGGGAACAACAGTGCCCAAACCTTGAGCATCCTGGTTGTGTTCTTTCCAGGCTACACCTCTTCGGGTGATCCAGTTTTGGATTCATCTGGCATGGGCCTAACAGCATGCGAGGTTGAGTCACACGGCATAGGGCTAACACGGTTTACAAAGCCTATAGTTCTTCATACGGATGTCATCGTGAATATTGTCCCCAGGCGTTAAACATGGTCCTTAACTCGTCAAACTCTGCAACGTGAACCTCAAGATCCTACACCCTGCAACACGATAGATGTGCTTGAAAGCTGCAGAGTCCCGAACCCTGAACAGCTGAACCCTCTTTTCTAACACACATCAATCAATCAACATCATCACCATGATCATCATCATCATCATTATCATCATCATCATCTTCATCATCATCATCAACGTCATCAATCATCGTCATCATCGCATATTAAGCCTATCCCAGACTCTGTAGCAAAGCGAAGCGCCTGCAGACACAACGAAATTGTTTTGCATCGGCCGCGGCCCTGCGCCAGAGCCTGCATACTCGACGGCATCCGTCTCTTCATTTAGGGCTTCAAGTTCATACGGTAGATATCAATGGGTTTCCGGATATGTGTAGAAACCCCTCAGCCGGACGCAGTGTTTCATATGTTAAGACCATGTTATGCTCCTATACGTGCCTTCAGATCAACCCCCATAGCCATAACTACTCCGACTTGGTTGGCTCTATGCTTTTTTTTAATCCACCCCGCAGGGTGCAGCGCAATTCTTCACGGCGACAGCCTCAAAGCCGTCAGTGCGGCGCAAGCCAGGCAGAGACTAGCCTGTTTTGAAAGCGGACAAAACGAGCCTGGAAGGTGAAGCGACAAGGCTCTTGCTGAGAAGACGGCACACAGCTCCAGGGAAGCGCACGGCTGGGCACAGCTAAAGCCAGACTTGCTCCCAGGCTTTAGCCCATGACCCTAATGATACCAGGGTGCACATTGAGTGAGCGATTACAGGCGTTGGATGTTGAGCATAGTCATTAAAAAGGTTCTCGCCGGTTGCTGGCTTGATGCACCCGATGTTTTGAATCGCTGTGTAGACCATGGACGTGACGAAGTGGATAGGTAGCCTCTTCACGAACGCATGATGCCCTGTCAGCCGAGAATTGAGAGAGCTTTTGTCGCTCGCCTTTCCGGTCGAGGAAAAAAGTCCATGAATTTGGTTTCGTCAGGTCGCGACCGGCGGTGGGCCTTGTTGCCACATTGTGGCAATGCGACGCTCAACCCTCCAGAAGGAACTTGGGCATTCAGTATCAGCCGTGGCTGGAAGTATTCAGGTCATACACAGCGGACGTTGTGCGGCAAGCCATTGAAACAATCATGTTCCGCGGCGCTGTGAAGAGGGTTCGGCCTTCGTCCTCGCCGGTCTTGCCAGGACCAAGGATGCCATGGTTGTTCCGCATACTGACTCCATTTAGCAAGCAGCCATCCAAAATAAAGGCGGTCAGCGTGTCAAACCAGCTTCTCAGGCTCGGCTGCGGTGGCTGTAGACCCTGAAGGAGTTGGCAGATCGCTTCCACCATCCTGACGAGTCTCCGTCAGTAGCAAAGTGCGGCAACATAAACTTCGCCATGTTGCTGCAAGCGCAAACGGGACTGAGATACAACAAGGCCCTAACACGGAGCCTGTGACGCGGCTGACGCAGAGTGGGCAGTTTATGTTTCGAAGAGGCGTAGGGGCTGAGTAGTTTGGGTGACCTCAAATCCCCCATCCGGAAATGTACTCCGAAAAAAGATCGAAACAGTAACCACAGACAAGTTCCGAAGCTGGCACTGGTATGCCAGCTGCGCATGCGGAGCCGTAAAAATTGCTTCCGCGAGCCAAAGGAGTATGGGAGAACCGAGGCGTTCATGCACGATAGGCGCACGCAAACTTTTACTGATCGTTCACAACATAATTGTGAATATAGGTTTTCTGGTTTGAAGCAGCCATGAGCCCCCCAACCCGCCGGCAGCGAGACAACGGCCCCGGGAGAAAGGAGATGCTCCAAAGCTTGCCACTATGAAGATGTATCGCATTTCAGACCGCAGCTCAAACCATGTGAACTCTGCTTGGAAAGATCCTGGCGTCAAGGCCCGAATGCTCTGAGAGAACCGTGGGAGCCCTGCCTGTGTGCAGTCGGGAGCGCGGGCGCCCGTGGGCTTCTGCTGTCCGCCTTCACCGAGCGAGCTTGTAAGACAGAGGTCTGAAGAATTTTCCAGTAGAGTCCTCACGATTACCGTGTTTACCCTGAGCCTTTCGGATTGAGGGAAGGCCCTTGGTGAACGAGTTACTTATGCCCCAATCAGGAGATAATCCATGGCAGAACATGACGGAAAACCAAAGACATGGATTTCGGAAGGCTTGGTTGGTATCATCCCCGGGCCTGTGTCAGTATCTTGACGTGTAATCGAGGGCAGCGCCCCACGCGGGGCACAAATCTGCAATCCAAGACAGCACAGACTACGCACCCTTTTGTTGCGCTGGGTGTCGGTGTGCCCCTCGAACTCGGGCGGAGGTCTGCTTGAGGCTCAAGGGTCGCGGACGTCCTGGCAAACGAAGAGCCGATGCCCTCAGTCAAGCTGGATCTCGGCGAAAGTGGCTCCGGAGAGGATAGCCTTGGCCTTCTTGACCTCAGCCCAAAGGTTTGCTCCTTTGGGCTTCCGGTTCGGCTTCCTGCTGCTGCTGCGACTGACATATTTTGGAAAGAATCACGAGAGCCACAGTGCTAGTGTTTGGGCTACCCCTACTGTTGTCCACGGCTTGGGAATTCTACCAACTGCTTGCACGCCCTAGGAAGATACAAGTCAGGAGCTTGAAGCAGAGAAGACATCTTCGGCGACCCTTTCGGCGAGTTCCTGAACTCTCCAAGGACAAGGAATTCCGCAGCCTCACGCTTCTATGCACCCCTGCAACAGAGATTCGTCAACTTTACAGCCTTGTCCTCACTGCAGCCAAAGGCCAGTAACCCCCAGATCCCCGATTCGCAGGCAAATCTGAAGAAGCGCACCGCATACCCGAGCCCTTGAACCCTGAACCGCAGATTCCAAAAGCTTCCGCCCGGCGGCCGAGTCCATCTCGTCCTCGCGCGCTGCCTGGCGGGCATCGAAGTTCGCCAGCAGAAAGTCACAGCTCTCGTGGAGCTCCGCCTTCCTTGGGCTTGGGGATTTATGTAGGCTTGAAAGGATTTCAGGGCATGAAGGCCTTATAGTCTTCGAGTTCCAGAACGAGTCGAAACATGCTGAACATCTCCAAAGCAACATCTTCGGCACAGCTCCACACAGACAAGCCGCAACCGAAAACCCTGCAGAATGGACATGATGGACAGAGGCTTTAAGCTGGATTCCAATTCTGTGGCATCAGGCCAAAGGAAAAATGCTGATAACTACCCCGCCCTCCCGGCCGACCCCTGACCCGCTGCTTCCTCCCGGCATCTGCTCATTTGTCATGTACAAGTCCCAGTCAGTCTCTCGGGAATTTGCACCGGAAATGTCGCTGGAACTATGTTGCCTTCAGAATAGTGGCTAATTGGCTAATATGTGAAAGAAGAGGCCTGAAGAAGCCTCCAACGGGGGTAGCCGAGCTTACGGAACAGCCCACATCACCACGATATCAATATTGACGGAAAAACTGCTGTCGTATCCCTTGTCGGGAAGGCCCTACAGCTATTGCACGAGTTTGAGATGGAATGCATGCAGGGAGAGAGATTTCAACGACAAGTATGTACGAAGTTCGGGTGAGGCCAACGTTGGGTCCCTTCCCTTCGATCTTGATATCGTCGCGGTTCTATAAGGCTGACTCGTGGCTTCCAGTCGATGCAATTCGGGGTCGTGTTGCGTGGTGGCCACCAGGGTGGCCCTCGTAGTGTGACTGTACTGCTGCTTCAAAAAGCAACGGCGAACACAACCTCGGTTCGGTGATGTTGCCATGATTGGTGATGTCAAGTTGGCCGTACGGTATTTGGCGCCGCGAGGTGTTCCGGGCGGTTGTCCGAACTCACAGTGACACAGTGACGGCGCAGTCTTTCGGAAGATCAGGTGTTGCAGGTGCTGTGTGAATTTGGTTGGCCGTTTGAGAGCCCACATTTCAGTGGAGAACAACAAAGCCGCGGAAATCCTCATAACAGCACTGCTGCCGTCCACCATGATCACATCATCATGGCCCATCATCACCATCCTCTGCTTTATCTTTACCACAATGCTTGCATCATTGTCACCACCATCATCGCCATCACCATGACGAGGAGATGAGATTTAACGGTCAACATCATCGTAACCATGACCATCGTCATCTTCTTCTTCATCATCATCATAGCCATCATTATCATCATCATCATCATTATCATCATCAGCTTCGATAGCCACCGGAATCATGGCCTGCGTCTTCAAAATCCCTCCTCCTCCTCCTCCTCCATCGTTCTCAACATCATGATTGCCAACACCAGAACAGCAACATGATAACGGCAAGCACAAACGCATGGTCAACACAAAGCGTGGCCCAAGCTTCGTCTGCGCAAGGCTGTCCAACGACTTTTCCGCCCCCTTGCGGGCCTCAGATGGGAAGGATGGTTTGCCTGCCTTCCTTTAGCGAGCTTCTGGTCCTCAAATCCGTTTGGAAGGCTTGCGTAGGCGGTTCCACAGCTTGACGCCTGGAGAGAAAGTTTCCAAAACTCTTGGCCTGGAACTGGAAACTAACGGCAGTGGAAATCGGCATCTCATCACAGCTCTTCAACTCCCTCACCAGGAACCCTTAGACCGTGAACCCTGAGCCTTAAACCCAGAATCTATAACCAAAACTGCAACCCAGCCACTTAGAAGCCCCACATCACAACTGCACATATCCCTGCGTACAACGTCCTTCTTTCACGCTTCAGGAAATCCGAAGCCGCTCTGGATCCACAACAACTCGACGCAACCCTGAAACCCAAAGGAAGAACTCAAAGCCCTAAACCCGAAGGCCGCCAAGGCCATGAAGCCTTGCGAGTCTGGGTCAGGGTCTTCTTCAGCTTGGCCTCGCCGGTCCATGCTCTGCAGAAACTATTCTAGGCGCCTGATTCGAAAAAGGGCAGCATGGTCTACACATGGTAGCCGGCACGCAGGGTGCATGTTCGAAACGTTTCGGATAATTTCATGAGGGGATGGTGGACACCCGGGCGGGGTCGGGATAATGACGTCGGTACTAACGGCGACCATGCCCCAAACGTTGGTATTTACAGCGTTTTGCCACTTTAGACAACATGGATGCCTGGCGTTGATGCAGTCACAAGCGTTCAGGCCTTGTGCGAGCATGCCCAAACCACCGGTATTCACAGCCCTTTCGCCACTCTCTGCAACACCCTGCAGAGGGATGTCCTGTTTGGCATAAGACACACTGTCACAAGCGTTGATGCCTTGTGCAAGCTTGTCCAAAACACTGTTGTTTGCAGCATGTTTGCCTTGCACAACATGACACACAACGATATGGTGATGGCCGTGATAATGAACATGATGATGATCACTACAAACACGATAAAGACGGAGTGAAATCTTATCCAGCGGACAATAGTTTCCAGACGACGCTACAACTCTGCTTTTGTCTGAGAATCTTGCCTAAACCTCGGTTACCAAAGCTTTTCAACATGCAAAGCACACGGAGCCTTGTGCGCCTGCTCCCTACTCATTACTAGAGCTGCAATGTGGCTCTAGATACAAGATGCTCGTTGTCACTGTTTCCATCACCGGGTCACTGTTGGGAGTGTTACGATCGCTTCATTCGTCTTACTAATATGCCTTGATCACACTGACCTCTACCGACCTCGGACTCAGGGAGTCGACGAGTGCTCTTTGCAGGCTGTCCTGTGCAACCCTGCTTGCACATTTGCTCTTTTCTCAAACCTTCCAGGAGCTGCCATGGGGCCCCCGGCCTTCTCAGCTTTCTTGCTGGCAATCGCTGCTTCCTGGACAGGGGAAGGGCGTCGGAGCATCTTTCCGTGCCCGCGGGAGCTGACAAGATGGAAGACTGGTACGGAAGCACTTGGCAATCAAAGTATAGCAAGATGGAAACACGAAGCAGGCACGAACAATAACGTGGCAACAAGTGGGTATAGAGTATAGACGTCAAGCAGGCAGCAAATACCCGGGTACAATTACAAAGGCTGAAAAGTGAGCAAACTGCAGCTGACTCTCGTTCCTGAATACGCGACCTGCTGGGAAGCGTAAATCTTAAACAGGCCTCACCGAAAAGACATGAAAGCAGAAAGCCCTGACCAAGAATGCGAGCCGCAAAGCTTCAGGACAAAAAGTTTACGATCCTGCAGGTCACTTTGCAACCCTCAACCTTCAACCTGCACAGAAGCCACCTACGCCGCAAATGACAAACCGCAAACATCGACTGTCGCCCGAAACGCGCCAGCCAAATTACATCTTAGACCCTACACACCAGAACTCCTTTGTGTCCCTTAAGCCCAAACCCTGAAGGCCCCAAACTGCTCCTTCTTCGCCACGGAGTCCGTGGTGTCGGCAGCGAAGGCCTCGTAGGCCTTCTGTGCGCTCTTCTCCTCAGAAAGGCGACTGCTGCCTCCCTTGAAGGACTTTGTGACGAGGCCCTGGGTTCCCTGGTGCTGCCCAAGAGTCAGCCCGGATTGCCTCCTTCTCCATGGCTGCCGAGTCCTCAACGAGCGTCTGGAGCATCGTCATGACGCCGAAGCCTGAGGACACGAAAAAAGCCCCTGAACCCCTGAACACTCTGCAGAGTCCTGTTGAAGCCCGGGCGGCTCTTGCCGTTGCTTTTGTAGTCCTCGAAGCCGCCCGGTGACTCCGGACCGGCCTCTCGCTGGGCTCAGAGTATAAGGGGTTTCACTGCTAAGGCTTCAGGCGCCTTTAGTGGCTGCATTTTAGGACTGAAGGACTTTAGGCTTAGTAGTTAGTCATGTTTCGGGTTTCAGCGTTTGAGGTTGCGTTGGCGTTTGAAGGCAACGGTAGAAGCCAACGCATTCAGCCGAGACCTTTGAGCGGCCGTGCGTGCAAAGCCAAGTTCAAGAAGCCAGAGGACAGAATTCGAGCCACGGAACTTCCTTCCTGATGGCCTCGGCGTGAACCTGGATGAGGGACTCCTTGTTGTAGAACTTTCCAAGCACCACGAGCGCCTCCTGCCGAAGGCTCTCGAATACAAGTTCATCGCTTTCGTGACGTCACGTTCAAGCTTGTCAAGCAGTGACTGCTCTGCACGAATAGAAGTGGCGTTGTCGCACAGACTTTTCAGGCTTTCGAGATACAGGGGCCCTCCTATGTCGCAACCGTCATCGTGCTGCCGCACTCGCTCGACTCCCTAACAACAGGTTCTTCAAGCTGAAGAGGCAGTGTCCGGCTCCCAACCTTCGAGTTATGGCGGGATGACTCTCATGCTGTCCAGCAGGAAGGTGGAGCGCGAAGAGAAATCTAGCATGTTGAACAGCTCCCATCTTGGGCCGAGGCTTCAACCAACCCTGCCCTGTCGTCTGTAGTTCAACACTCTTCGCCTGATCTGCAAAGCCTCGACCGCAAGCCGTGATCAAGCCTAATCTCTAAACAGCACAGTTGAAATCAATCGAATCCTCCATCCCCACATCTGAGAAAACCCAAGACCAGAAGCCATACACTCTGAAGATCCCAAGCAAAGTACCCTCGCGGCTCCTTGAGGAGCCTCTGCGTCTCACGCTGCTCCGTGATGACCTGAGGCGCTCAACTTTACCGCTTGCAAGGATACAGAAGGGTTCGCTCTGCCCCTCAACTGAAGCTGCTGCCATGGAGAGAGAGGTGCATGCCAGCTTGAGGCATCCTTTGCTTTGTCTTGGGGAGTGCAAGGACCTTTTTAAGAGCTCCCCGAAAACTCCCATAATTCCATAATGTTTGCTGAAGTTTCGGGTAGCCCTCGAGAGCCCTACAGGCCCTAAACCCAGTAAACCCTGCCTTCTGAAACTGCGTGTTCTCTTTCTCTCGGTTCTGGCCTCGGCGCGAGCGAGGGAGGCTGGGTTCTTCGGGGCTTCGGGGCTCTTCGGGGCTTCGGGGTTTCGGGCTCAGGGCCTTAGGGTTCAGGGCTTTCCCCTTGTTCGGTTGAGGGTTCGGCTTAGCTTCAGGACCATGGGGTGGGGTTGGAGCTTGGTGCTTGGCTGAGGTTTCCGGTTAAGGTTCAAGTTTGGGGCTCTCCAGCAGTGCATCCTGTAGGCATCGGAATGCTCAGTCAGAATCAAGCCCTCTCACCTACTGCATTTTTGGTTCAAACTTGTCCCAGGTTACCGCGACATCTCGTTGCCAGTCTTGCTGGGACGGGTGGTGCGGGGCGGCATGCAAAGTGCTTGGGCTTGTCTGAACTCTTCGCATCCTGGGGCAATGGAAGTTCAAGGGTCTGCAAATTTTTCGATTAGAACGTCTAGGTCGATTCAGGTTTCAACTGCTGCAGTTGATTTCGAGATTCCCTAAACCGTACACCGCCGAACCCCGAAACCCTGACACCCCGAAGCATGACCATTCCGTTGAGTGCTGCGCCGAGCTGACTTAATCTCCAAAAGAGTGCAGAGGGAGCATCCCGTTTATGGGTTTTTGGGTTTATTCAAGCTTTACACGACGGCACCTACTTCTGGGTTAGGTTCGCCAGTTACGCACTCGTGAAATGTTCTTTGGTCGGTTCTCCATCGCTGTGGTCCTTGAATGAAAGACACCACCCGAGAAACAAAGACTTGGCCCGGGAACCTGCCAGCTTCAACTGCTTCTGCATCTCGGCCACCTCCGACTCGTAGGTCTCCTTCGCAGTTTAGGGCCTAGGGGCGAGAAGCCTCAGGGTTTAGGGCTCTTGGGGAAGCCTAGGGCTTGTGGGTCAGTACGGGGTTTGAGGTCTGGGGTTTTATGGCTCAGGGGTTTAAGTGTTTTTGGGCTGAAGGTGTTAAAGCTTAGGCTGTTGGGGTATTGGGAGTTTAAGGGCGATGTGCGGCCACCACCGCAGTGTCTCCATTAGCACAGAGAGCAGCGCCATTGTACTTGCAAGCCTTCGCAAAGGACACTGATGAATGGGGGGCATGGTGATGCTCACGCAGCAAAGGTGTAGCAAGCCTGTGGTTGTGTGGAGGCCTGTCGCCAGCGCAGCACCTTCCTTGCCTGGAAAATCCGAAAATCCAACGAACGAGAAATTCCCGGGTTCGTATCACTTCCAGGATTCTGCTAACTGACTTAGAAGACAGCCCGAGCTGAGTTCGCACGGTCACGTTCTACAGTTCTACAGTCAGTCCTGCTCCGTCTTCGGCGTTTCGATGTCGATGGCATTCTCCTGCTCTCTCTTACTATGATCTTGGATCCAGGTTGTGTGATGTCGTCAGTCTTGAGACTGGACTGGTCAGCTACTGTTGCTGTTGCTGCTACTGCTGCTGCTACTGCTGCTACTGCTGCTGCTACATCAACAACTGCTGCTAGGTATCTACAGCCAGCGGTGCTGGGATGCCAGCGGTCCATAATGGGTAGCCACTGCGCAAAATCAGCACTAATGATGGCAGCACTAGCACCAAATGAGCATCAACACAAATGACACCGGAACAACAACTCATCAGTCAACACCAACATGCATCCCAGCAGCACCAACAGGCACAATAATGACAACACGAATGCTAGTGCTCACTATGATGCACGCTTGTTCCCCGCGGTATTTCACGGCGCAGGCCCTGGAGTCCTTGGCCACCAACGTGGCTTTAAGGCGGGTCTTCCCTTCCGCCTTCAGCTTGTTCTCACGGAATTCCTCGACGCCTTTGTTGCTCAGGGACTTGAGGGTTTCAGTGTCCGGAAGATCAATGCTGAAGGCTCGGGTGTCGGCATCTCTCTTCTCGTTGCTTTCACTCCACTCTCTCTCTCTCTCTCTCACGGGAACTGCTTCTGCCTGAGCTCCATGCCGATTCCACTTTCACTCACTCTCTCACTCACTCTCACTCACCCTCCCAAACTTACAGCCTTAAAAGTTTACTCAAACTTCTTCAGTCAATTACTCACTCAAAGGCCGAGTAGCAATAGTCTTTCTGCGTCACCTCGTCTTCCTGCTCCTTCTGCAGGGCGAACCTGGGACTTGTCGTCTGTACGGCCGAACGCTCGAGTGCCCAATCCAGAAACAAGCAGACCGGACATCCACAGCCTGCTTTGATGCGTCCCAGTCAAGCGGCACCATGTCATCCATGGCCTTCTTCACCTTCACAAACTTGTCCAGCTTCATCTGCACAGGTTAACCCTACGAGGAGCCTGGAGCTTTCAAGCCCCGTAATTACAACAGTGATAGCAGTAGCAGCAGTAGCAGTAGCAGTCGCAGTAGCAGTCGCAGTAGCAGTAGCAGTAGGAGTAGGAGTAGTCGTCGTCGCCGTCGTAGTAGCAGTAGCAGTAGCAGTAGCAGTAGCAGTAGCAGTAGCAGTAGCAGTAGCAGTAGCAGTAGCAGTAGCAGGAGTAGCAGGAGTAGCAGGAGTAGTAGGAGTAGTAGGAGTAGTAGTAGTAGTAGTAGTAGTAGTAGCAGCAGCAGCTAACGGGTCGAAAACTGTCC